TGGATTTTCGAAAGCGTAGAACATGGACCAGTTATCGTACCGAACAAAGGGTTGATTGGCAAATCATCTATGCTCGGCATATCACCCAGCATATTCAGATCAAGGAGTATTGTCTTGATCAGCTTAACCTGAACGAAAGACAAAGGCGACATTATTTTTTTTAATAAACAAAAGAGCAAAAGAGAAAATAATAAACCAAATGACACTCGCTACACTCATATATAACTGGGACTTGAAAACATATCTCCCGGGAAACAGAATGAATGTGTTCGCTTGGATGGGTTCGAGAAGACTTCCTTCGCCTGATTTAAATGCCTTGTATTGGAAACCCAAGTACTCATCGTTGTCTAATCTAGCTGTTACCATCCCACTAAGGGCACTGATCCCGCTGACAGATTTGACGAACACAACGGCAGCAAGTATTTTATATAGACATTTTTTATTATTATTATCATCAAGGTGTAAAGAGATTATTTTATTTTTTAAGAAAATGGCAAAAGTTTATTTTTTTTTTTTAGAAAAAATGTGGCGGCAAGTGAAAGATTATTTTAACTTTATATGGCAAAATCATTCATTTTATTATTATCAATATAATAATAGTTTTCCTTTTTACATATATCGCTAAGTCCTTTGGAAAATTGCAAAGAAGATGTTCTGTCGCCACAATTAAAAAACAGGAATTGGTCGTTCGTTGCTAAAAAAACCCCTCAAGACTTTTTTGAAGGTGTACAATTCGCAAATAATTTCCTTATTATTATTGTTGTTGATAAGAAATCGACTAAGTCTTTTAAAATGTTGTTTATTTTTAGTAATCAATTCAATTGTCAATCAATCTATTAAATAATAATGCTTTTTCTCAATTAAAAAGTATATGAAATAATCGATTCAATTGTCAATTAATTAGATGCACAGCACTTTGTTTTTAGCGCATAACTTTTTGTTAAAAAAGTAAAGGACATTGTTTTTTAGCATTTTTAATGCATAATGCTTTTCTTAAAAAGTAAACGAATAATCAACTTAACTGTCAATCAATTAAATGCATGGCATCTTGCTTTTGGCATTTTTTATAAACGAATAATCAATTCAATTGTCAATTAATTAGTTAAACGCATAATAGTAATGCTTTACTTAAAAGGCAAAAAATTTTTTTAGCATTTTAGTTAGTTAAACAATAATCGTTTCGATTAATTAATAATATAATTTATTGTTTATTTAAAAATCTTCAAGTGCTTTTTAATTCATGAACTAGTCTGTTTTGTTTTAGTGGTGGCAAAAGTTAGGATAAAGAATCTTCGATGAAGAAGACGTTGAAGTGATCTAAGAAATTATTGTTCAAAAAAATTAATGGTATAAGAGAGCACCAAAAAAACAATTCCTTTCCAAAACGCATTTGCACTAACCGTCTATAAGACTCAAAAATCCAACCCCATCACATGTAATGTTGAAAACGTGTTTGCTTAAGGTCAAGTATATGTTGCAATGAGCCGAGTTCTTCTTTAATATGATTTAAAAATATTGTCCTACTCTAAATTTTATTTGTGTAATAATTTGAATTTTTTCAAGAAAAAAAATCTTATAATTGATAAAATATGAGTAATGATGACCTTGAAAGAGTTAGAAAGTTGATAAAAGCCGTACCAGATTTTCCTGAAAAGGTATTTACTAATCAACTATTATATAATCCTATATAACAGTATTTACTCACTCTCACATATGTTATTATTATATGTAGGGAATTTTGTTTCAAGATATATTTCCAATATTCAAAGATCCAAAAGCATTCGAGATTTTAATAGATCATATCTTAAATCATATTAAGAATGATTTATCTGAAAAAGTTGATGTAATTGTTGGACTTGATGCGAGAGGATTTTTGTTTGGACCTTTAATAGCATATAAATTGAATGTTCCATTTGTGCCTTGTAGAAAGAAAGGTAAATTACCTGGGAACATAATTACTGCAGAGTTTGTAAAGGAATACGGCGTGGTATGTATCGTGTAATTATGAGAGAGAAGAATATTGTAAGTTTATTATTAACTTTTTACTTTTATTTTATTTGAAATTAATTTTTTCTTTATTTTTGTAGGATACATTTGAAATGCAATCTGATTCTATTGAAAAAGATAAAAATGTTATTGTATTAGATGATCTTCTTGCGACTGGTTAGTAACGATTTTATCAATCATTATTTACATTAAATAAAAAGTAATAAATATATTAATTAATGAATGAAATAATAACAACTTTTTTTCTTTCCTCCAAATATAAAAAAGGTGGAACTGCAAATGCAGCTGGACAATTAGTTAAAAAATTTAATGCAAAAGTTTTAGAATATATATTTATTATAGAATTGGTTGAATTAAATGGCAAGAAAAATTTAGATTCTGATGTTTATTCGATATACAAATTTACATAAAAAATATTTATTAAATTCTTTCATTCGTTACTTGTAATAAAAAAATTTTGACGTTCCACACATCTAATTATCTTGATCGTTTCGAGATGACAATATATTTAAAACATCTATTTACATTAATTATGGTACTTATAATGAGTATTAATAAATTTAAATTTGCTATATGTTTATACTGTTCCTTTTGACTGTTAACTGATTGTTAACTTGATAAAATTTCCTGACTACTTGTAAACTTTATAATTATCTGTAATTTGTGTTTCGTTTTGTTTCTTGAGATACAAAAGTTTCGTAAGCTTCGTCATATATATTAAAACAGTTCCATCTTACCCAATGATTTGATGCATACCTAGTTTATTAGTCGGGTCCTTGTTAAATTTGAAAATAAAACTCTCCCTTGTTTCAATATTATGATATTTATTAGACGACTTCTCATTGTTATTCCAACATACCAGATTATACCCACCAACCAATTTGCCAGTAGCTTTGATTTTCATTATCACAACTGTTTTTTCAATGTTTGCGAAAAACAGATTGTGACATTTCATCCCGAGTACCAATAGAATACACATGGTAATACCTTGTTACTTATCTATCCAACTTGAAATAAGTTCATTGCTTTCTATATTAACAATTTTCTTTTCCTTGTACTTTTCTGATTTCCTTAATGGACATTGCCAACCGACACTAAGGGATTTGATTATAAATTGCAATTGCTCATTGATGACATCCTTGTAAGGTTGACTTTATATTTAAAATCAGTTGGTGATATTTAGTTAATGAGATAACATTTTGTAGCATATCTTTCAATTGAGCAAATCATTTTCCATTCAAAATAATCTTTATTATTCAGCAATTGATTTTGACCAATTCCCCATTTAATTGAATGGACCCGAATATTAACTTCACTCAAGTCCAAATTAGATTTTTTATAATAGGCATTAACATGGACTCTTCAATATCCATGGTTCTGGACTATGAGAAATCCGATCTATTACAATAATTTGAAGTATAATATATTTTATGAACATATATTGATATATACTAAATTTTGTTGTATCCGTTCATCGTTTCTACAAAATATATGGTTTTCAAATCTTCTAATAATTCACTGAAGCATACGCTTCAAAATATCTTTTGGTATGTTAATTAAATAAATATAGCTGGAAAATTATTATAAACGTGTCGTAATCACAATTCACACAAAAGATATATATACACAAACTTTAAATCATCTGAAATACTCTTGAAGATACATAGTATTCACGGATACCGTGAATACCGTTAATATTAAAGGGGTTACTATTAAAAAAGCAAAAATCCCTTAAAAATATATGTTGATCACTTGATTTTAATAGTGTGCGACCCTGTGTGACCCCTCTTGTGGTATCCGTGGATACAAACCTTAAAGATACGTTTCTTTTTTCAAAAATAATCATATGGTTATAATACCTTTTAATTTAATTGTTTAATAAAAGCAAGCATTGATCCGGCTTTAAGTATAGATAGATATAAAGTTTTGGTGTTACTACACTCGCCCCAACAGTAATTTCCGCATCATAAAAATTATTAATAGTAATAGTAATAGATTTTAAAGATAATTATAATTTATAAGGTTGTTCCAGTCCTGTCCAAAGATCAAAGGACTAACCAGACTGTAGATGAAATTTTACTATAATAAGTTAAAAGGGATGAGGCTTATTAATAACTGTTCTTTTAATTGGTTCTTTGAACAATATCTTTTCACATGAAATAAAATTCGAGCCACAAGACCTTAAATAATATATATTGAAATTCCCATAAACATAAACCCATATCCAAACATTAAATGGTTATGAAACTCTGGTAGTGTGCGACCACATTTTGGCGTCATCTAAACAATAAACACTTCAATATCAATTATTCGATCAAAATTTAAGTATATTGCTGAATGGATCGCTGTAATTCCATGTCGTCAAACAATTAGATTTAAAAGATTTATTAATCAATTTGTAATTGGACGTGATAATATCAAACATGATATTGATAATATTAAAAAGTACAATAAATATTGAATTAATATATATAAACCTGTATGTATTGAATTCCCAGTCTGGACCATTAGTATTAGTATCAAAAACAATGTTCAAAATTCGGCAAGAATTTTTTTTGTGCACATTCAAAAAAAAAATTTTTTTCCAGTGCATTAATAATATTCTTTTACAAATAGCGGAAATCATGTTAAATAATTCCTAAAAATTAAACCATTTTTAGTGGAAAATCTTCATTACCAACAATTTTACCAATTGCAATATTAAGTTCTGTTTTGAATTGAAATAATGATTAAATTTTTTTAGAATATCTTTTAAATCAGTAAAGTACATTGTTGCTAAAATGAAATCTTCAACTATCTGGTTGTATAACAATTCAGCTTGTTTATCACCTTCTTCATCAAGGGCTGCAAGCACTGAATCAGTTATTCTATATAAATTCCCCACAGAATTAGAAAAGACAACTGTCTGATATTACATGAATTTAATATTACTAATTATTAATATCCTGGATCAAAGTTCCTTTATATCTTTCAAAATATAAAACTTCATCTGAAAGCATCCCTATAAGAAAAATAGTCTGTTATTTGAATTTTAATTCCAGAAATACTCCCATGAATTTGCAATGATGGCAAAGTTCATCTTTCTTTCCATGATTTTTTCCATGGAATTTTAAATCATGGATCAGTTTTTTTTAATATACAATGATTGGATGATGTGAATGTATTTATTTTTTTTTTAAGCCATGCAGAAATACCACTTCTATAACTAATCATATTAGATGCACCATTGCTTCCAAAATGAATTATTTTTGAGGATATTCTCTGCAGTGGTAGATTCTAAATCAATCATTCCTAAATATCTCATATATGGCATATTATCTACCATATATTTTCCTACAATTGCTAGATATTTACTATTACTCCAATATGGATATAAATCCAATTCTTCAAAAGCTCTTTATGTATAACAGAAACTATTGCTTTCTAAAAATTTAAAACCAGATTCATCATTAGCATAGCTTCCATAAGTTGATTTGGATGATGATGTTTTTTATGGAGGCAGGTTTTAAGTTGAAACTTTTACCACCAATTTACTAATTCCTTTTCATTTTTGATTTGTAGTGACATTAAACCACATAAATCAGGATAAATATTCAATGAAATATTTTTTTTTTTTGAACAAAAATGGATATTTCTCATTGATGGAATTTACTTGTGCTCAATTGAATTGATTGAGTTGATTGAAATTGTTCTGCTTCGCGTAATCCTTCAGATTTTTTGCATTCAATAATCTTAAACTAGATGTATGTACCTCTTGCAAATCTTGTTTCCCCATTTTGATTTCTACATATTAGATTGTTTCTTCATTAACAATTTCAATTGTTAACTATGAATATGATTTAAACCATCCGGGATCAATTATGTAGTTTTTGTTCATCGCCAGAACTCTCAGTTTTATCACTATCAATTAATTCATCTGAAGATATTTCAAAAATTTCCACTAGCTGGAATATTGGAAGCTTCACTAGAAAATTTAATTAATTTGACATTTTTAAAAATACTAAACAAAAAATTAATTAAATTTTCGATGAAAAAAATTTGTTAATTAAATGATATTAAATTTTTAAATGATATTTAAATTAAATGATGGAGATTGGCATCGTGTAATAATAAAAATTCTTCGATCCTTGTTACGCGAAATATATGCCGGAATAATTTTTAATATAATAATAATAGTGATAACTTATTATTAATTAATTATTTATTTATTACTTATTTATTATTTAATTAATTATTATTATGTGGAGGGAGTTTCTAGTTTTTAATATTAATATTAATATGGCGCACACGAAATTTCATGCACTTGATCATAAAAGATCTATGCCACTTTGATCGTAATCGTTTACAATAAATGATTTGCGACGCACAGCCACACGCCAAATCTTTATTCATTATGATAATAGAAATTTATTGTTTTCTATTTTTATTTGTTTTTCACCAATAAAATACAAAAAACAATTATTAACGTAGTCTGATGATACAAAAGGATTATCATTGCATTTTGCCGCAGCAAATGGGAAAATATCATTATAGTTGCTAAAAAGTAAAAATAGAAAACAGATAATAAGTTATGGATTAAAATTTTGTATAAATAATGAGGAAGAGATTCAACGAAGATTCAACAAAAAAAAAATAATATCTTGAAAAAAAAACCCCCAAATAAATAAAAAAAAACCAAAAATTTCTTCACAATCAATAAAAATTTTTTCTTCTTCGAATCAAGAGTAAATAAATAATTTACAAAATAAAATTATATATTTAATTAATCATAAAAAACCTTTCACAAATTATAAAAAAAAAAAACCAAATTAAAGATGACTGAAGGCAAAAATAAAAATATCGTCGTTTTATGTGACGGAACTTGGAACGGGCAAAGTTCGCTTACAAATATTTTCAAACTGTCTAAAGAAATTGTTACAACTGATGATCAGAAGGTCGAGTATGATGTAGGATTGGGAATTGGAGATAGACCAATAGAATTTCTGTTAAATGGAGCTCTTGCAGTTGATCTTGATGAGAAAATTAAAAAAGCATACAGATTCATTGTCTCAAATTATCAACATGGTGATGATATTTGGCTTTTTGGATTCAGTCGTGGTGCGTACACTGCAAGATGTGTGGCTGGAATGATGAACACCTGTGGAATTTTAAAAGAAAACGACGATAAACTTATTGACATTGCTTATCAAAATTATCGCAACCATCCAAACGGACGAAATTCAATCGAATTCAAAGATAAATTCAGCTACAAACTTGAAGCCGACGAAACACCTATAAAGTTTCTTGGTCTGTATGATACTGTTGGGGCATATGGCATTCCAAGATATGTTATGACAAAAGGAATAGACTATTACGAGTTGTTTGATCAACACGTGTCTCATATAGTAAAATATGCATTCCAGGCTTCTGC